TTTCCCTCATCTGTAACTTGGTGATCCTTCTTCTCTTCTCTATTTTTTCCTGCTTCAATTTTTCCTTCTCTTTATGTTTTTCTCCATGGGGCAAACTACTGCCACTAAAGAAAGACAAGCATTTGATCTCTGTCTGAATACATTTTAATTATGGTTCTCCCAAACCGGCTGTCATTTAGAAAATGCACATCGTTCTGTGCCTGTAAATCCACAGGGTAAATAATGAGGGTCATGCAATGGAAATGTGTGACTGCAAATGGATGCGTGGGCCTCATTATAAGGCAGCATCATTAGCTACACACCTACTATCACTGTCCTGTCACTGTGTGCACCAACACACACACTTGCTCTTCCTCAATACTTTCCTATCTTTTCTCTTTTCATGTCCTTCCTGTTTGTCTCCAAGTTTCTCTTTTCTTCTTTTTGAGGTTTCCCACCATAATTCCTTATGCACATCCCTCCTTGCCTACTACATTGTTCCTTTTGTCCCCTGTGATTGAGCCATCCATCCATTCCCGCCTTTCTTCCCTTTTATTGCCCAGTTTATCTTGTTTTATTTCTTCCTTGTTACTTCTTTAAAGCTCTTTGTCTAATATGTTTGTCTGTGCCTTCTCTTCCTTTGTGTTAAACTTTTTTTTCCAGTCCTTCCTTCATTTGGTCCCCCTGTTGATTTATTAATAATAATATAAAATACACCAACAATCATATACATTTGGACCCAGTTCAACTATTTGTCATACTTGTTAGCGGATATGTAAAAAGGATGGATCATAGGCATGAGCACAGATGAGTGTAGTGTTGCAGCACTATAGTTTACTCATTATATTAATGGTCCCAAACTGACTGATTTAAGCCACAATAATGATTTCATACTTCTGTAATGGATTATTCATCACACTATTTTATATACAGACTGGTTGCAGCATACCTTTTCATTGTGACATGGCACCTGTCCATAATGTGCCAGGTTGCAAACTTAGTGTTTTTGTGTATACTGCATAATATCCCTCAGCAGCCTAACTGTGGGGATGTGAGGACTGAAACTGGGTCAGGCGGTTATAAGGGTACCTGATCGCCTGCCAAGAGCTGCCATAGAAAACTCAGTTGACATCTTTTCTTGGCAGGAAAGATCCTGAAAGGATGTGAAGCAATGCAACACGTTGAAGCAGATGGACACACAGAGACATATATGTGCACAATATTTGAGAATTAAGGTGTAAGAACAGTGAAGGACAACAAAATATTGTGTCTAGAGTTGCCAGAAAATACACAAAAGCATCACACACACACACATACACAGAACCAATTAGTCTGGGCTGATAACTGTGCCAGTGTTACTACCCACTGCGTGGCCTGCAGGCTATTGAAGCCATGTACAGTACAGCCTTACTCATGCATGTAAAGCCACAGCCACGTCAGCCCACTCGTGCTCAAATATGCCAACTGTTCCTCCAACTCTGTGTCTACATATTTGCAAACTGTATGAAGGAAAGCGCCAGTGAAAATCTCAGGACTTGAGTTTTAGGAGGGGTGTATGTTCAGGGGATATTGGACATGTCAGGAATACCTCAAGAACCAGTATAATTGAAAATTAAGCTCTTATAAAGAAGCAGTTGTCCTGTTAGATGAGAACAACCCTATAAAATGTCAGCTCGGTTGCAACAGGTAACCTGGTAAGACATTTATCACCTTCTATAGGCTGAAGGTCAAAGATCAAGAGAGCTACCTCATACAGTATCATCAATTATAAGACTATAACCATGGAAGGAAATAATTCTTCCCACCAGCAAAACCTTGGCAAATAGCTGTTGATGCTATGGTAATACTAGGTGCTTTGGCAGCAGCCATTTATTTGGTCATGTAAAAACTTTAAAAAAGTACTTCGTCTTCCTCATCTCCTGTAGAAACGAGCTCTGGAAATACAGTTGGTGATTCAGTGAAGCCAACCCCCACCTGTGGCTGTAGACAGCTGACTGGCACATTAAGGCTGGTTATCGATTGGCATCCAAAAGAGCTCGCTGCAAGGTCTGTGCTTAGTGGGTTGGCAAATGACAGGATTTCTAACACGGTTTAATAAACCCTTGTGAGACTAAATTTAATTTACTCTGGAACCCAGGCTGAAAATTTTTACAACCCTTTCGCCATGGGAATATGAAACCATCACTTTCATTTTTTATAATAATAGGTAAAACCCTTCATGAGGGTTGTTACACAGGGGCTTTTCAACCATTTCAGCAATGAATCCTCATAAACAGATAACTCTGGCTGGGGTGCATTGCCAACACAGTAAATTCCTGTAGATTCCAACCAGAAGGCAATATTTTGGATGTGACACCCTTTCCTGCTACAAAGGGATAAATATTTGAGTTTTAGGAAAAATTACTCCCTATAACAATTGGACTGGAAGACATAAGCTGTAAAGCTCCAAATCGCTTTCCTCTATGCATATAGGTTCACGAGGAGCTGGGTGAGATGGCAGTAGGTGGAATGATAGTGACAGAGTGAAGAAGATAAAAGTGACGCTGCAGACAAAAGGCTTTTGTACTGAGCTGCAGTGGTAAATCAGTCAGCAGCGTCCCCTGGACAAATGTTCTCACAGACGCACAGATATTGCCATATACAGAGGCGCACAGTCACAAAAATAGACGCATACAGACAGCTCAGTCCACATTTTCTGTTGCCTCCCACAGTCACACACATATATACACACACTTGTTGTGTTTTACTTTCTGTGCCACCAAGGAGCGAGAGAGGAGAGAGAGAGAGCTGCTGGCTTGCTGAGTGTGAGTCATGGACAAGCTGACTGCCCTCAGGCCTCAATATACCATCTGCACCCCCATTGCCTCTATGGTCTCATCACACAGCTCAGTGCTCTGCAGCACTGGATACGCTCACGCACACATATGCATACACGCTGAAACAAACACTCGAATGTGCATACTGATAGTAAAATGCAGAAAACTAACATATCTCAATGGACGCATAACCTCACAACATCTGGGCCATGCATTACACAAACGTACACACAAACCTCAGTTCCTATCTGCATAATCATCTACCATGTGAATCATGCTGTAATTTATATTTGAATACAAGTGCGCAAATACACAAAATAACATTCTTGCAGAACAGCTCCACAGTTCTTTCCGCACACATTCAGGCATTAACCAGTTCTTGCTGCATCCCGGGCAGGTCACCTGGGACTGACCAACATTCTGCCAGAATTCATTATGGAAAACTGACAGTAGCTCACAAAAAAAGAGCATCAGTCTGTATCTGTCTGGCTGTGTGTACTTGTGTGAGTGTGTATGTGAATGTGAGGGTGCACAGTATGAATGAGCAGGAACATAATCATAACGCAAGAATCAATGGAGACGATCCTTTTCATTAGAGTGAAGGTAAAAGCTGCTACAGCATTGACCCTCTCTCTTTGTGCTTCTCCATGCACAAGATAAAACCTCAGTTAAGTCTTCATTTCTTTTATTCAGTAAAGTTATTGATGTTACATGTCACCACAGATAGAAAACATTAGTCCATAAAAAGGACTGCAGAATAATAATAGTGCTAATAATATTAGGTAATATCAAGTATTTACAGTCAAAATGGGGGAAAGTAGCACAAGAATCACCAGCACTGAAAAATGCAGCATGTCTGTCAAAAGAAGAAGCACAGACTTGAAGCACAGAAGTATTAAAACAAAACAAGCTCGTACACACATGCAGCACAAACCGATGCGAAATATTATCTACTAGCTCCTCATCTGAGGAACTCCACTACAAAATACTTGTTCCATTTAAAGCAGCCTCTTCCTAGCACAGCTTTACAAAATTGATCCACGTATGCTTCGGATGTTGTGGTACATGGATGAAAACCAAATTCTTCGTCTGTATGTTTGTGAATCTGTATTTTTCATTAAAATGTGATCAGCGAATGAGCTAAAATAAAGTACTTGTCATTATCTTCTGAGAGAAAAAACTCAGATGATATGAAATGATAAGTACCAGATAACAACTTTATACAGCATAGTATAAGTACAAACGAGAGGCAGGGGTAAGCTAGAAGAACCCGAGCACGTTCTGCATGTCCACCACATTTATAGGTGGAGTATACGTTTTAGAGCTGAAATCGCAGATTATTTTCATTATTAATTAACTGCTTGACCACTGGATAGTTTTCTGACAAGAATGTGTTTAAACTAAAATATCAGAAAATTGTGAAAAATGTTCATTATATTTTTCCACAGCCCCGACATGTTCAAAATGCTTGTTTTCTCTGACCAACAGTACAAAACCCCCAAACATTCCAGTTATAATTATATAAAACAGAAAAAAAAGAAAATGCTTATGCTTCTGAAACTGAAATGTTGGGCCTTTTTTTGCTAGATAACTGACCTAATATGCATCAGGTTTCATAATAATACATGTTTCAGCATTTAGATACTCACTCAACTAAACGCAAAAACCCTTTTTAGGTTCATTTGACCTTGACCTTTGAAAGAGCAACCGACAAAACAGTCTAAACTCTAGATCCACATCAGTCGTACTGAAGATTCACAACACATCGCACGGTCCTCATCAGCAGATAGAACATCTGTCTGTTAGAACATCTGCAGCTCCATGGCAACTGAGTAAACTGCCATGCTCTGATGAAGATCTTGTGATGCAGTTGAAAGTTCCAAAGCCAATGAACAAGTGGACCTTGAGTTCAGAGTATTTTTTTATTCTAATGGCTTGTCATGTTGTTAGCTGGTTGTTTGTATTGGCCTCTGTTTAGCATATTGGATATTTTTTCATGTCAAAAAGGAAGAACTACAAGTGTTGGTATCATTTTCTAATAATCATACTTAATAAAGGTGTGCCCTGTGAGAGACTGGCAATCCCTTGTGACCCTACAAAGGATCAGTGCGATCAGCTAATGGATGGATGGACGAACAGAGTCTGAAGTTGTGAATAAATCGGTTTGGGCCTTCCTAGTAAATCAGATAACTAAATTAAAAAATGAGGTATATATGGTAATGAAAGATGTTTTACAACCTCACAGTTATAACCCAAAGGTTACTCTTAAGAATCTCCTTTTACCTCTCTATAAAGCATAATAATTATCATTAATAAAGCAATCACTTTTAAACCTATTATAAAGTATGCATAGTTAGAAAGTGGTACCAAAATCTTTGAAATGCTAACAGATATAAACAGACACTGCTAGCAAAACAAGCTAGTTAGCCACATTCAACCAGCACCTGTTGGAGCCAGCGTGTCTGCTGCTGGTGACAGCGAGCTGCACCACTGGCCGGGCAGCTTTCCATTAACATTTCCTTAACAACTGATTTGCCAGTCAGCCAAACGCAAAGGGTGATGGAGGGAAGAATGTGCTAGCACGGTTTGATAAACAAACGTTAATCTCCTTAGCACCACTTCAGGCTCTGTGGCAGGTTTCGCACACAGCAAAGACAGACTGGCTGCCTGGCTCGCTGTACTGTGTGGCCCAGCCACCTTCTTCACTTTGGGAACAAAGCCATTCCAAAGCCTCGTATTTTTACAACAGTAATCCATTCAGTGATGTCTGTATAGGGGTGTCCAACTGCGGGTGATCCTCCTTATAACCCATCCAGAAGCAATGCTCCTAAGCCGGCTCTCTCTGGTGGATACTGACAGATTTGCTTGCAGTTAAAGTTTGGTTTGTTTATTCAAAGGAGTCCAAAGACTCTCATGCTTTTGTGGATTGTTGCTAATACTCTTGAACCTGTAGTTGAACTTGACATTACTGCATTCTTTCCTTTACTTATAGCTTTTGGGTTAATTGAAGAATGAATTTTTTCAGCTGGTTACATGAGCAAATTCTCAGTGTGTAAATGCTGGCATCCTCAAACAGCTGTGCTAGTTTAAGAAGAGCTAGTATTGCCTGTAGTTGTTTTGTTTTCTCCTTCTTATCCCTCCTCTCAAGGGGAACCTGGATATAGCAAATCCCAGACCATTCATTGTGGTATGTCTCTCTCAGCAGCCGCCTCTTCCATTCCTTCTCTGAATGTGTCTTAAAGAAACACGGATAATGTGCATGCTTAAACTAGAGGTGAATTAGGGATTCCGATTCTTTATCCTGCTCTCCTCAACTCCACTGTCTTCCCTTGTCTGTACTTTTCCCACTCAGGGCCATTGAGCCGGTGTGATGGGCAGTATGTGTGAGCAGGGAAAAGCCAGATCCCCTGCTGACTGTGTGAGCTGCCAGACCTCCCTACAGTTCTTCACCCGTAATGCCTCTTCATTTCTAGTATTTTGACTAAAGCTGCTGGGTTCAGTGTCTCTAAGCCTGCTATAACAATGATGTCCATTCCTTCCCCTTTTCTATAACATCCTCTCATTCTGCATGGCCTTGTAGTAGTGCTCCTGCTCAGCATGGCTGCGGGCGGAGACAGAAGGCTGACGAGGCAGGGTGGAGGTGCGGGACAACGTATGGCTGTGGGCGTCCATTAGTAGGTCAGGGTGGGGAGGAGGGGGAAGAATACTGGAGCATGATGGGTGAGGGGGCGGTGGCATGGAGGAGGAATGAGGTGGAGGAGGCAAGGGGGAAGAGGATGGATGTGGAGGTGGGGGCATTTGAGAGGACAATGGGTGATGAGGTGGAGGCACTGGGGAGAGGGGTGGAGGCATTGAAGAGGAGCTCGGGTGCGGAGGGGGCGGCAGGGAGGACGATGAGTGAGGAGGTGGTGGCAGAAGAGGGGACGATGACAGCTGAGGTGGGGGAGGTGGAGGGGAAGAGGAGGTGGGGAGAGGTGG